TTGCAGCCCGGCAGCCGCTGCCACCGCCAGGCGATGCCCTCACTGGAGATGGCTGCACCTGCTTGTGAAGGACGGCTCTTTTTTTTTTTTTGCTTCCCCCCCACCCTCTCTCCTCCTCCCTAATATATATTTTTTTCGCTCTGTTGTTGTGAAAATGAGTTTAGAATACTTGTACCTTTCAACTTCCAATTCATCTTTACGCCACTGAAAGCAAAGGGTTTTTTTTCTTTCCCCCTCAGCTGGCCGGGGCTGGGGACACAACAAAAAAGAAACGGATCTTTTGAATCGAAGTATCTCAATAGGTTTCAATAGATTCCCTTTGGTTAATTCATAGCGCTGGGTGAACTCGCTGCGTCTAAAGCGAGGGTTGGGGGGGGGTTGTTTGTTTCTTTTTTGGGGAGCTTTTTTGCTGCTTTTTTTTACATTCCCCCCTCTTTTTTTTTTTTTTTGGAAGATCCTGAGATCACTCTTTCTTTTTTTGCCTCGGTACCTATTGTGTCATATTTTGAAATACTACGAATAACAAATAGTGCCAGAACGAGTCGTGCGGGTGTCTGTGCCCGGCCCCGCGGAACTCTAGTGCAGCCAGATGGAATTTGCAGGACAAGGGGCTGCACACTGGAGCAAGGCGGAGGCGGAGGGGGCCAAAAAAAACCTCTTTCCATCACTGTAGTTAGAGCCGCAGTATAAATCAGGAGTTAACACGGTTAGCAAATAACATGAGTTAGAGGCGAGGAGCCGGGCATTTGATATATAGGCAGGGCAAAGGCCGGGCTGAGCGTGGCAATGCTGCGTGGGGGGAAAGGTACAACATGAATGGATGTTTATGCGAGGTGGGGTTTGAGTGGGGCTTTTATTTTGTGCGGGTGGAAGGACGTCCCTTTTGGAAGGACGTGTCCCTTCCTTTTTTTTTTTTTTTTTTGGAAGGATGCGTCTGGGCTGTCACAAGGGCAGGTCTAATCACCTGTACATACCTAAAAGAGGCTGGGCACCCAGCGGTCCGGTTAGGCTGCTGCTGGCTGACCCCAAGGAAGGCCCAGATGGCAGGATGGGGTGTCAGCCCCCCGGAGGATGGCCATGTCCCCTTCACAGGGTTTAGGGCAGAAGCGGGGAAACGACCCACTGAACACCCTCTCGGACTCGGGGTGCTGCGGGTAGCTTGGGGGGAGCTTCTCAATCAAGGAGGTGGGGGGCGAAATCATTGCCCCTTCTTTCTCATCCCTCCGTTGCCTCTTTCCTTAGGCCGGATTCAAGGAGATGCATCTCTCAACCTCCCGTGTGTAACAGGTCCGCCAGTGACCGGGCTCTCCGCGGGAGGGCAGGGCCGTGCCCAACATGCAGCGGGGCGGGAAGAGTCGAGTTCCCGGCTGGGGGCTTCTCTGCCCCCGGCCCCCGCCCGGCCTGGACTCTCTTCTGCCAGCTGCTGGCTCTGCCGCGGCTGCCTTGTCTTGGTGGACAGATTTCGTCCCCTCCTCTCCCCCCTGCCCGGCCTCGCAGCACGCGTCTCTTTCTCGTCCAGATTGGCCGCGGTTCGCCTTCAATAGAAAGAGGTTAATTTCCTTCACAAAGGTGAAGGGGGCCACGGCTTTGGGAAGCTACTGTGCAGAGGCAGACACACAGATCCGCTCCCCATCTTTATTATTATTATTATTATTATTATTATTATTATTAGCTGCTCGATGACCCCCCCTCCTTGCATTAGCACCTGATGGCAAACAGCAGACAAAAAAAATCTCCGCATGGATAAAAAATGCAGGTGGCAGCCCCGGGTCGTTGCAAAGTTGCTCAGGGCGCAGAGGCGATGTGCATCTATCCCGCGGGCTCCAGGCCACTGGGGGCGGGGATCAGCAAGGAAGGTGGGATCGTGTCGGGCACACAAGGGGTATTTCGGAGTGGGGGGGGCGGTATTTAGGACCACAAACCCCGGCAGCGCCAGCCAACATACTCTGAGCAACTTTTTAGCCGTAGAAAAGTTTTTTTTTTAATCTTTTTTTGTTTTTAATGAAATTGCAGGGGAGGTTCCCCGCATCTCTTTCAAATCCGCCCGTTGAAGGCAATTCGTCGGATTGAGAAACAGTTTGTTACCTGGAAATAATAATAATAAATACTAATAATATAATGATGATGATGATGGTACCCCCGAGCCTGAAACACTCGGGAGTGCGCTGGAGAAGGGTGAAAGGCCGGCTCTACAAGTCGTGGCCTCCACCCCAAATCCGGGCATGCAGGGTGCAGGGGGGCGGCCCTCCCCCCGCCGCCCCCTCGTGCCCGGTTTTGTTTGCGGCCCCCTCCTCCGTCCCCGGGGGCAGGGGCTTTTAAACGGATTCAGCGCCGACGGCCCCCCCGCCCCCGCCTCCTCTCCCCTTCCCCCCGGCCCCGGCGCTCGCCTACTGAACCCTCCTGACATATTTCTGACCATTCTTCTCCTTTGTTGCTATTTCGCTCCAGAACCGCGGGTAATCCCGGCGATTTCTGAGGCCGCTCATTGTCATGCTGATGGATATTTCCATTTGGCAGATCCGTGGCCCCCGAAGGAGGCACACAAAGGCCAGGCACGTGCGCCTTCCTATAGAAAAGCATCAGACCGTGAAAAGAGGAGGGGCCCGGCGTGTGCCTCCATCCAGGAGGGGCCAGAAGTGCCGGGGGCGGGGGGGGAAGAGGGGAAGGGCGAGCGGCGGCGCTCGCGGCCCCTCAGGTACATCTGCCGCACCTACCAGCGACCCCTCCGCTCCGCCGCTTTCGGCGAGGCCCCGCCCCCGCCGCCCTCGCCCTCCCACCCTCGGCAAATCCAGCGGAGCAGCGGGAAGCGCTGATTGGCTCCGGGCTGGAGCAGGAGGCTCAGACAATGGCATCCTCCCCCCTTAAAAAGAGTGCAGCGATCCGGGCCGGGGGCAGACGGGACATCCTCGCAGGGCGCCCGCCGGACAACAAGTGCCGGGGGCGGGGGGGGCCCCCAGCCCGCAGCCCCCCGGCCCCAAGG